TTATTGAAGCCCTATTATGTGCCAGATATGGGTATATTATTCTAGGTGGTAGGAAGTAGCACTACCCAAAACAGGGAATAATTCCCACTGTCTTAGAGCTTACATTCTAGTGAGGGAGATAAGTATTTTAAAAGATAAATTAATGTATAAATAATACCAAGTAGAGAAGTATTCTAAGGAACATAAAGCAGAGTAAAATGGCAAATAAATGTGTGAGATGGGATGGACAGTGTATGTATGTAATATAGTCAAGAAAGTCCTCCTTGAGTAAATGAGATTTAAGCAGAGATTTGAATTAAGGAAAGAAATAATCCATGCAAATATCCAAGGGGAAAAATAAAAACTTTCCCTGAAGAGGGAACATCTTGTTCTACACAAACACAAAAGATTGAATTTGAATAAGAGCATGAAGTATTCCATTTTCAGTATGGCTATGTAAGTTCTCAGAAGTAATGTTGGACAATCTACTTCGGTAGTGATACTGCCTTGGAAACCCAAGGAGGGGTCGCTTATGAGTTGGGTCTGACTCGATGGCACATAATAACAACAACAACATGGAAGTTCTACTAGCCTTACCCTCCCACAGACAACAATTATAAAATTTGAAAAAAAAATACAAATAAAATAATATAGAACTACCAGAAGATACAATAGAGTGAACCAAAGCAGATGCATTATAGAGGACTGATAGGTCTTAGAAGAAGGAAACAGCACTGGGTAAGTTTTCCATTTGTTATGATTTTCAGGATGAGGGAAAAATCACAGTGGGCATGGTGTGGAATGGACAAAACTCAAATGGAAAACAAGCAGTCTTTCTGGCCTGAAGAAACAGAAAATGGAGTTCAGGATAATAACAGATCCTGGAAAATGATGAGTGACTGGGAAATTTAAAAATCAGAGAGAGGAGAAGCTCGTAGTGAGTAGTATAAACTTCTAGAAATATCTGACTGTTCTCTGAATCACTCAAGAGGACTACTAAGGATAAAAGAACTGAACTGATATTTGAGCTGCTAACCAAGATACATAGCTTTCAATTAGGGTTCAACTAATTGTTTTATTCAACAAACAAAAAAAATCTTCTCCCTTTTGGGGAATGTAATAAAACCCACTCACAATGTGCAAGAGATAATCCAAAATTGCTCATATGGAGGAAGACTTGAATAAAACTGGTTTATATTCTTAAAGAGAATGATTTAAGGTGCTGAGAATAATTACAGGATAGGCCCTAAAGAGATATTTGTCTAAGACATATCTGTTCTAGTTCAGGAATGTATTTGGGGTGGGCTATATTAGTTGGCCACCATGCATCTGTCAGTTTGTCATGGTATTGTGCTGGCTTGTGCATTGCTATGATGCTGGAAGCTATGTCATTCATATTTAACATACCAACAGGGTCATCCATGATGGACAGGTTGCAGCAGGAGCTACCAGACTAAGACAGTCTAGGAGAAAAGGCCTGGTGATCTACTCCCAAAAGTGAGCCAATGAAAACCTTACAGATCACAACAGAATATTGTCCAACTCCTTTGCTTTAGACATATCATCAGAAGAGATTGATCACTGGAGGAGAACTCATGTTTGGTGAAGTAAAGGTCCAGCAAAGGCAAGGAAGACTATTGATGAGACAAATTGACACAATTGATATAACAATGGACTCAAACATGCTGGTAATCATGAATGAGCAGGAACTGGCAATGTTTCATTCCGTCATGAGTCAGTGTCAATTCCATGTCAGCTATATATCTGTGTTAGCCAAGGAAGTTGAGTCATTATACTTGTAGTCATTTTGTACATAGATGAGTACACTGGCCAAGATGAGTGGACCTACCATACAGTAGGTATCTACAGTGGCTAGATACAGCCAGTGTGTAGAACTGCTCCAACTTTATAAAGGAATGATTACAAGGGATCATTTGAACTTCCAGAAGTTCTAATGAGCCTCTAACTCACTCAGGTAAAATTATCTCAGACATGTATCCACTGTTAAGATTTTGAAATCTGGTAACTTGACCTCTACCTAAACTGGAAATTGTGATGTATTTCGCTGCCCTTGAACTACATCTTGATGGCTTCTTTCTGTATTTCTGTATTTTTTTTTTAGATAAGAAAATGATTTTATTTACTCAAGAATCTGATATTCCATCAAGCTGAGCCTCCTCTTGACAGTCATTAATATTTTCAATACTACAGTTGAGCAGATTGTTGATTAACAGTGGAGTTGATGCTAAGACCGCAACATCTATTATGTCTTAGTTTTGTGAAGAAAAAGTTGGGACAATAAAGGGTAGAAGTATGGTATAAATACGATCTTCTTACCATCAGTGTTTGATGCACAAAATAAGCCTTGTGATACACAATGGGAGACAGAACTTACCAAGGGAGCATGAAAACCATACATGTAATTCCCAAGGATCTGGGTCAGTTGAATAACATCAAAATCTAATACACTGGTTATTGTTTACTGCACTGGTGAAAAATCAGCGTGCCAATAGAAGGAACCAAAACAGCCTAGGTGAAACTTCTGGATACTAGGATTTACTACAGTGTCCCATATAACTCCTAACATAGGAATTTTGGGGAATGGAAAGCATTTTTATAAAGGGAAAAAAGTGACAGTCAATCTAAACATTGGAAATATGAATTCTGTTCTGATGAAATGGCAACTTCTGTTACTGAATGCATAATGTAAGGATATTCAAAGTAAATGGGAAACTTGATGTTATCCTCTAGATCACTAGAGTACAGAAGATTCATCCTTTTTCTAATTTTTTTAAATTTAGTTTTTATTGAAGAATAATGTACACAAAAAATGTGCAATATCTTTTAAAAAATTTTGGTGAAAATACACAGAGAAAAACATGTACACATTCAATAATTTCTACATGAACAATTAATTCAGTGACATTGGTTATAGTCTTCATGTTGTGTCATCATTGTAGCTCTCTGTTCAAATTATTTCAGCCCCATTGACTTAGACCCACTGTCCCTTAAACTTCTCATCTATGCTTTAAAGTTCCTGTTGCCAGTATGATCTCATATAGATAATTCTTTAAAAGTTCACAATGCTGAAGATAAATACTTTCTACTAATTGAGCTGAACTAGTTTCTATTTATTTATTTATTTATTGGCTTAAAATGACATCAGAGGTTAGTTTCAGTTTAAGGTTTAAATATCGTCTCAGAGCAATAGATTCAAGGATCCCTCAAATCTCAATATGCCCAGTAAGACTGTATTCTATAGAAATTTTAAATTCTGTTCCACATTTCCCCCCTTTTGATCAGAATCCAGCTATTGAGTCCTTTATCAAAACATTTAGCAATGTTAGCCAGACACCCTCCAATTCTTCTGGTCTAATTAATTATTTCTGCAGTTCAGTTCCTTTTCTGATTGCTGGGTCTCTTTTCTCATCTGTTGCTCCAGGTGAATAGAGATCAATTGTGTCTTGGGTGACTACTCACAAGCTTTTAGTCCCCTCAGGCTCTACTCACCAAACTAAGAGATAGAACAGAAACTCTAAAAACAATATTAGGCCCATTGACTAGAGAGTCCCATGAAAACATTACCCTAAGCCACTGAACCAAGAAAAATAATCCCATGAAGTATTTGGTTATACCTAAGTAGCACCAACGGCTGTGCTGTTTTGTTTTGTTTTGTTGTAAAATTATAACAAGTTTGTCATTTCACCCCTTTTCTGGTTTATCACTTAGTGATACCAGTTACACCGATCAAGTTGTGTAACCTTTGCCCTTAATCAGTGTCAATTTTTCCATCATCATAGACATAAACTCACTACTTCCCAGAGGATGATTCCCTCTCTCTCCCACCTTCCCCCTCCCACTGCTAACCACTAGTGAAAAAATTTACAATATCCTATGAGTAAATTTACACAAACCAAACACACCCACGTAACATGACCCTGTTCAAGAAACAGAACATTACCAGCAGCTCAAGACTCCTTCCTGAGGGAAATTACTATTATGACTTCTAATACCATACATTAATTTGACCTACTTTTGTACTTTACATAAATGATATAAAGCAGTATGTACTGTTTTGTATCTGGCATTTTTCAGTAAACATTTTGTTTTGAAATTCATTCAGTCATTCATTCCCTTCATTTTGTTGTTTCCAATTTAGCAAGGCTTCTTCTCTTCCCTGTCCTGCACACCCTACTTCCTTTTCCATTTCTCTTGGTAGCAAATCCATAATACACTGATTGCGTATGAATCCTCTTCTCAGGGCCTATTTCTGTGGAAACTGATTTAAGAGAGTCACTGAAGCCATTTTAATATAAATATTAAAGAAAAGAATGATCAGACTAAATTGGAAGATTGGGTATACCCAAGAGGCTGCTACTTGGATTTTACATAGATCAGGCTTTCAGAGAGCTTATAACTTGTTATTATTGGCTGGAAGGGATGTTAGACAAAACTAACATATATATCATCTTCAATATAAAGTGGAAGTGATGAGTCCAGAAAAATACTGGTGATCAAATAGGGAGAGAAGAGAGGAGACTTGGAGGAAGATGTGATGTTTGACCTGAGCACTGAAGGAGGAGTAGGAAGTGAAGCGGGAGCATAAGGACACTTCAGATAAAGGTAACAAGCCTATATTTTGGGCACAAGTCTATATTTTCCAGGAAACATTAGGAAGTGATCTGTACAGGGCTCTAAGTTTTCATTACACAGAAATCAAAGTGACAACAAGAATAATTTGACTTTTGACCGCTGATCATTTATTTCAGACAGCTCACTAAATTCAGGAAAGTAGAAACCTAAGCTGAGGTGTAAAGATATACATCAATAGTTCCACATAACTAGTGGCATTAAGAATATTAACTAATTCTTACAACACAGAAATATTTTTCAGGCAAGTGATAATATTTAAGGAACAGTAGAATTGCTATATAGGAAATGGGCCTAATTCTCTTCTTTTCTTTAGGAGGGTAGGAATGGGACAGATGTACCGATTTCTAACGGATGTTCCTCTTCAAGTCTCACTCTTGTTCCAGCTGTTTAATCTCCAATGACAGCTTATACACCTCCAAGGCCATTTTCACATCCTGCGGGTTTGGGAGGCACTGCATGAGGTGTCTGCCGGCTAGCACTTGCTCACAGCCTTTGGGGACTTTCTAAAAGAGATAGATAGACAAAAGAATGGCTTTTTGAGAAGTCTTCTTCAAACTGTGATGGTGTAACACTCTTTCAGAATTCATCACCATTGACAGGAAATTGGAAAATCAGAATTCTCCCCAAGAAGATGGATGAAACTCAAAAGTTATTTTGTGTTTCATCAAATTTATCACCCTAGGGCTGTGTTATGGGTTAGATTGTGCCCCCCCTAAAAGAAATGCAGAAGTCCTAACCTCTGTACCTGTAAATATGACCCTATTTAGAAATGGTTTTCATTTGTTATGAATACTAAATCTCATTACTTCTGAGTGGTGTCACAAAAATCTCAATGGCAATGGTTTTTGTTGTTGTTGCTGTTTTGGTTCAGTGTCCTATAAATAGAGCAGGATGAACACAGAGATACTCACTTAGAGGGAGGACAGACACCAAGTGAGGAACTGTATATAAGCAAAGGAACACCAAGGATTGCTGTAGACATCAGAAATTAGGAAAAAGGCCCACAGAAGGAATCAACATGGCTAAGACCCTGATTACACTTTTAACCTCCAGAACTATGTGAAAATAATTTCCTGTTCTTTAAAGCCACCACTTGTGGTATTTTTGATTTTAGGCCCTAGTTAACTAAGACACGTATCAATGAATAACTATTGAAGCAGGGTAGGGTCACACTGCAGAGGACACCCAGAGTGCTCTTTGGGAACAGCTGGAGGGAGAGTTCCGAGGGCTCATCTAGAATGGAGCAAAAGCATGGCATTTATTATGGAAAATAGAAGCCTGGTGGCCAAGTCACTTGAATCTATGGGGCTTTCCTACCTAAAGAGCATGGTCCTTGGTATAAAATGAGATAATTAAAATTTGCCTCAACCAGCTCACCACAGTGCTTCAAGTTTCCAGTGCTGATTCCTGTAAGTTATTTAAACATCTCAGGAATGAATCCTGACAAAAGTCAGATCTCATTGACGCTGGCTGGGCCAGTACTTTGGAGGCAGCTGCCATTTTTAGGACATCCTGAAATGTGTACTACTTACCCACTCACACTTGGGCACTTCTGGGTACCAGGTTCTGTTTTCTGAGCAAGTGATAGTTTGGGGACCGACTACACTGTAGCCAGGATGACACTGGATGGTGATGTTTTCAGGTTCAACATACTGATTTTTATCCACAGAGAGCTTCCCATTTTCTATCTCTGGTTTCAAACACAGAGCTACAATAGAAATACAATTTTGATCATCCTTGAGTCCCAGGAAAAGATTGTATAACAGTATACATTATTGAAGGGTAAGAAACACAGGTAATAAATTATACTCATACTGAGAGTTGTTCTTTGCCTCCATTTATTTTATGATAATAATAAAATTAGTAATAAGAGTAACATTTTTACACACATATTACAATGTCAATGTAAGTACCAATGCAAAGCAATATAACTTTCTCCATTTGGCTAGGGAGAAAAATTAGCTACAGAGAGTTTACATAATTTTTCCAAGGTCGTATAGCTCTTTGGTAGTGTGATTATATTATAAACCTAAGTATTGTGACCTGAACTCTGAGTTTTCAAAACTACTATAACTCAAAGCCTTGCTCTTTGCATTTATTTTCCTTCCTTTAATATCCTCCTGTGTTAAATAGAGACAGTAGTGGAAAATTAACTTCTTGAGTTGCTGTTGGCAGAATGATTAAAAAAAATAAAGCCTTGGGAGTTGAAAAGGCAGACTCAACCTTGACTTCATTATTTCACCACAGCATGGTGGTCAAGCAGAAATTTCTGATCAGGTCAATTTCATTATGAATAGGTACTCGCCTGTATGAGACGCTAATAAAGGTATCAGATATGCCAAGGATGATTGGAATTTACCCATGAGAGTCCTCATTCAAACTCAATCAGATCGTCACTAAGATTTTGCTAATTTCTCATTGATATTCTCAAATTAACAATTATTATCTCTGTATCCAGAATCAGAACCACCTATATATGGACACTTGATTTATGACAAAGGCAACACTACAAAACAGTGTGGAAACCGTTCTATTTCATAAATGGTGCAAGGTTAGCTGGCTGTTCGTTGGAGGAAAACAGTTTGACCCCTACTTTACACCATAAAAAAAGAAGAAAAAAAAAACCAAACTCATTGCCATTGAGTCGATTCTGACTCATAGAGACCCCTTTTGGGTTTCCAAGGTGGTAAATCTTTATGAAAGTAGATTGCCCAGTCTTCCTTCTGCAGAGTAGCTGGTGGGTTTGAACCATTAACCTTCTGGTTAGCAGTCAAATGCCTTAGGCACTATGCCACCAGAGCAAATAGCAATTCCAGGTGGATTGGACATATCAATATGAAAGGCAAAACAATAGAGCTTCTAGAAAGTAACATAGGAGAATATTTTTGTGACCTTTTTTTTGTAGGAAAATGTCTTAAATTGACTTTCAGAAATACAAACAAATCTGTCCTGGAAGAAATGCAGCCAAAATGCTCCTTAGAAACAAAAATGGCCAGACTTAGTCTCACCTAATTTGATCATGTTGTTAGAAGGGAACTGTCCTAGAGAAGGATATCATGTTTGATAAAGTAGAGGGTCAGTGAAAAAGGAGAAGACCCTCAATGAGATGGACTGACACAGTGGCTGTAACGATGGGCTCAAGCATAGCAAAGATTGTGAGGATGGTGCAGGACCGGGCAGTGTTTCCTTCTGTTGCACACAGGGCTGCTATGAGTGGGATCAACTCCATGGCACCTAACCACATATCTTAAACTGGATACGAAAAGCTCCAACCATCAAGGAAAAGATTGATAAATTGAACTACATTAAAATCTAGAACTTCTGTTCATCAAGACTGGGATGCTCACAGACTACTGATAAAAATGTAAATTGCTACAACTACTTTTGAACAAAATTTGGCATTATTTACTCTATGCAAGCCTTATGAAATAGCAACTCCATTCCTAAGTTTATTCTCAACAGAATGACATGCATATTTGTACCAAGAGGCATGTCCAAGCATTATTCCTAATAGTCTACAATATGAAAATACCAAACTTAACCAATATTAGAACAGATATCTAACACATGGTATATTTATCCAATGTACCACAATGAAAATGAATAAACTATCACTACTTGCAAAGAGGCAGATGATTTTCAAAAACATGATATTGAGTAAAAAAATGTCAGGTATAAAATAGTACGTATGTGACTTCCTTTATACAAAATTCAGAGATAGGCAAAACTAATCTATGGTTTTAGAATTAAGAATAATGGCCCTTTTGGGGAGGAGAGTCAGGGAATAACTGGACGGGGCATGGAAAATGCTTCCAGGGTCCTAGGCGTAGTAATGCTTCTTGTCCTTACCGGTAGTTACATGGATTGGTTCACTTTATGATAATTCATTGACACCTACAATTTGTACACAACTCTGTCATACTGTTTTAATTAAATTTAAACTTTTATTAAAACAAAATAAAAAGGAGCCCTTTAAATTACCTCTGTAAGACAGGTATTGGTCACTTCAAGGACGATAAGTTACATGATTGTTCATAGTTTGTAAATGGTGTACAATGTGCATGTATTCATTACAAACTAAAAAAGTACATTAACAAATACCACTTTCTAAGTGCTGCAGCTGGTTGGGAGGAGACTCTAATGTTGGAACTTTCAAAGAGGTTCTTCCACCTTCTCAGCAAGGGTTATCAGTGAAGCTGGACTTACCTTTACATTGAGGAGTTGTGGGTGACCAATCTGAGTCTGTGCAGGAGATTTTAGCCTTTCCAGACAAAACATATCCTTTGTCACACGTATACAGTACCATAGTAGTAAAGGATAGAAATGAGCTCACATCTTTATAGGATCCATGAGCAATACTTGGAGGCCTTCTGCAATCTTGAATGGTGAGAGAGAAGAGTAGAAAAGAATGAGCCAGAGTTTTATTTAACTAATAATTCAGAGTGAGGGAGTCCTCCCATTTTACAGAACTAGGACATTACATTATTATACACGTAAGATATGTTTCATTTTCTTGACATGAGTACTAAGCTTTTACCTTATTCATGGATTTTTGGGTACAAAAGCATTAAGCCAGCCACAAAGAGTCACTCTGAAACAGAATCATATTCTGTAAACATGAGGCAAAATAAAAAGAATGCTTACAAATTAACTTTTATAAGGCAGACAACCCAATAGGAAAATGGCCAAGGGACTTGAACTAACACATCTCTAAAACAGCTACAATAATGGTCAACAGACACATGAGCAGGTGCTTGACCTTGTTAAACAACAAAAATCAAACTTGTAGGTTCAGACTCATGGCAACTACATGTGTTGCAGATTAGAACTGTTGCATGGAGTTTTCTCAGCTGTAATCTTTACAGAAGGACCCCTGGTGGCACAATGGTTAAACCCGCAGGTGATAACTGAAAGGTCAGCAGTTCAAATCCACCAGCCATTCCATGGGACAAAGATGTGGTAGTCTGGTTCCATAAAGATTATATATAGCCTTAGAAACCCTATGAGGCACTTCTACTTTGTTCTATAGGGTCTCTATGAGTCAGAATCAACTCAATAGCAATGGATTTGATATTGATTAATCTTACCCACCAGCCACTCCTCGGAAGGAAGATGGGGTAATGTACTTCCGTAGTAATACTGCCTCAGAAACCCAAGGAGGGGTCGCTATGAGTCAGGGCCAACTCGATGGCACATAACAACAACAACAACAACAATAATCTTTGTGGAAACAGTTCACCAGGGCTTTCTTCTGTGGAGATACTGGGTGGGTTTGAACCACCGTTAGGTCAGCAGCCCTTACCATCTGCTTATACCACCTAGGCTCCTTCAATCTCATTTCACCACCACCACCACCACCACCCACTGCCATCAAGTCCATTTCTGACTCATATTGACCTTATAGGACAGAGTAGAACTGCCCATAAGGTTTTCAACACTGTAATCATTACAGAACCAGACTGATGCGTCTTTCTCCTGTGGAGTGTCTCGTGGGTTCGAATGGTCCACTTTTCTGTTAGCAGCCAAACATTTAACCATTGCACCATGAGGGCTTCTTTTGACCTCATTGTTGTTTGTTGTTGTTGTTGTTGTTGTTGTTATGTGCCGTTGAGTTGGCCCTGACTCATAGCGACCCCTCCTTGGGTTGCCGAGGCAGTATCACTACGGAAGTAGATTGCCCAACCTTCCTTCCGAGGTGTGGCTGCTGGGTTTGAACTGCCAGCCTTCTGGTTAGCAGTCAAGTGCCTTAGGCACTTAGTTATTAGGAAATGCAATTGAAAACACAACAAGTAACCATTACATACCTATGAGAATGTCTGAAATTAAAAACTGTGACCATACCAAGAATGTGGAGCACTAGAGCTCTAATGTACTTCTGGTGAGAATGTAAAGTGATATAGTCAATTCTAAAAACATTGTGACATTATCTCCTAAAGGTGAAAATGATCATGTCCTAAAGCCTAGCAATTACATTCATGGGTATTTTATCAGGAGAGATATATGAAAGTGTGCACCAAGAGACAAACACAGAAATGTTTATTTTTAATGGCTCTATACATGAAAGGACCTAAATATCCATCAACAATAGAACAGTTAAATAAACCATAGTACATTCATCTAATGGGATACTATGCAGCCATAAAAATGGATGAAATATTACTCACAACAATATGGATGAATCTCACCAAAAAAATGTTGAGCAAAAGTATGTAGACATTATTAACATATGATTCCATTTTAAAAGTGAAAAACTAAGCTATAGCAGTAGCATCACTATGAGAGTGTGGGGGTGCAGACCACACTGAGTGGCACTGCCAGAAAGAGTGACACCAAAATGACTGTCTATAAAATTTTTGTGCTGTATTTCATTTTTTATAAAAATGTCCGCGTAGTTAGTCATAGTGTGCCATATTGCACTGGGTAAATGTGTTGCCAAAGACCCCTTTAAAGTATTAAAAAGCAAAGCTGTCACTTTGAAGACTAAGGTGTGCCTAACCTAAGAGATAGTATTTTTAGTCACCTCATATGCATGTGAAAGCTGGACAATGAATAAGGAAGACCGAAGAATTGATGCTGTTGAATTGTACCGTTGGTGAGGAATACTGAAAATACCGTGGACTGCCAGAAGAATAGATAAATCTGTCCTGAAAGAAGTATACCCAGAATGTCCCTTAGAATTGAGGGACATTGACCAGGGACAAAAGCCAGGCTTCATCCCTCCTACTTTGGTTGTATTGTCAGAAGAGAGTGGTCCCTGGAGAAGGATATCATACTTGGTAAAGTAGAGGGTCAGCAAAAAATGGGAAGACCCTCAACAGGATGGATTGACACAGTGGCTGTAACAATGGGTTCAAGCCTAACAAGGATTGTATGGGTGGCCCATGACCTAGCAGTGTTTTATTCTGTTACATATAGGGTTGGAACCAACTCAACCACACCCAACAACAACATAACAGTTATAAAAACAAAAACATTTTTGGTAAACCCGGCTCACATGTATCAATAGCTTACATTTATCAATATAACCATAAGTCTAAAACTCAATGCTCGCTTATTTTTTGAACCTTCTAACGTACTTGGGTCAGAGCTGTCATTGTCACTGAATTACAATGATACTTTGAATTATGTGAGAATCACATAGTTTCACCTGCATAAGCTGTATGTACATGTTGTTTCCATTTCTGTCAGCATTTTTTTAGTTTTGGATTTTGTCACGCTTTCTGGTGTTTTAGCTACAATATTGTGGAATTAGTATTAGTGGATCTGTATCAATAACGTTTTTGAGAATGAAGTAGCAACTAATAGAAAAGAAGGAGAAAAATAGAGACTTTTGCTCGGTTACTAGTAATGTTGTGACTAATAAAATTGTAATTCAATGTAGAAAGATTTTACAAAACAGGTTTACTGTTAGTATTCATATGATTTAAGAAATATCACACCTACGCCATTTACATTTATCACATATTATTCTATGATTAAAATTGATAATAAACATGACTATGGATTCTGTATGGTTTTTGGTGTGGGAGGAGGTCCATGGTAGGGGTAGTGACACTAAGAGTTACTGTACTGGATGACACCAACTTTAGTGACGTCACTGGCTATAATACACATATCAGTAAAATGGAGGAAGTGATTACCATGAGAATCAGGATAATGATTTCATTTGGAGAAGAATGGGTAATGAATGGGAGGTCCCATGGGACTTCTGGAGTCTGATAATAATGTTTTTCTTTATCTGGGTGAAGTTTTCACAAGTGTTTGGTGTTTGATAAATTGTTGAGCTGTACAATATCATTTTGCACACTGTTCCACGTGTGTATTCTATTCTAATAGGTTTTTAAAGAACAGATACTTGTATTTGAGAACTTGTAAAGTGAATTCAGAATCTCTCTGTAATCCCCACCTCTCCCAACCACCACACCCACTATAAAGAATATGTTTTCTGCATTTTACAATATTTTGGGAAGAGGCTCACAGGAATGATGCAATAAATAAAGTACATTTTGAATTAAGAAATATGGAACATGTGGTTAAAAAATGAATTGTCTCTGGTTCCAAAAACTTTGCATGAGAAATTTTAGTGCAGTTAAATGAATGTAGAGCATTGGGAATGTCAGATAAAGCACTAAAGGATGATTTCCTTTGGGACTGAATCCACGTTAGAGATGTTTCTATATTATCTATTTGCTAAAAACAAACTATTGAAAACATTAATCAATCCATGAAAATTAAGGCAAATATCTTCTGGTCTGTCATGGATTCTTCATCCTCTTCAACAATAACTCCATGTGATATGTGAATGAACACTGCAAACTTCAGTCCTGTGCATTCTCACTTCTGTATATTTGCTTCTGCCATCTCCCCTTCTAGAATGCTGTCCCCACTTTTCTACATGCTACTCTAACCAACAGTGATCATTCCCACCTTAAGTTGCCTATGGCACTTAATAGTGATGGATCACAAGGAATAATTTACTGAGTTTATAATCACTTTGCTAGATACTATATTAAGCATTTCATATATGTTACCAAAGGAGCCCTGGTGGTGCAATGATTAAGTTCTCAGCTGTTGACTGAAAGACCAGTTCAAACCAACCAGCTGCTCTGCAAGAGAAAAGACCTGGCGGTCTGCTCCTGTAGATTATAGCCTATGGGGCAGTTAATGCTGTCATATGGGGTCACTATGGGTCAAAAATTCACTCATAATAACAATATCCCTCATAGGTAGTCTCTGGGTGGTACAACCATTTAACTGCTCTACTCTGGTAGAATGAAACACTGCCCGATCTTGCGCCAGCCCCACAAACCCTGCTATACTTGAGCCCATCATCGCAGCCACCGTATCAATCCATCTCCTTGAAGGCCTCCCCCTCTTTTGTCGACCCTCCACCCTACCAAGCATGACATCCTTCTCCAGGGAATGGTCCCTTCTTACAACATGACCAAAATAGGTGAGACGAAGTCTGGCCATT